TTGGATTTCCTGTGAACTTCATATTGTTCCATGTTTTTCATTTAAAACATATCAACAACACGATTGTGTGTTAAGGTGAAAAGGAATACTGAGACGTCTAGTGCCATTTTGATTGATGGGCTTGATTTTTGGCCTCATTTACGGATTCAAAACAGTCACATGAATTTACTGCCAAGTTTGACAGTGGCGCCCACACTTGTTTTTTTCTATTTTTCGTTGGATTTTGCAATGGAGCAGTTCCATCTGCAGAATCGTTCTGAACTGGGCACATTGATGACACTAAAAGTAATCTACAAAGATATAGAGTGTATCAAAGGCAGGCTATCTTCTTGTTCATTCATCTATCCATCTGACTTCATTCCTGTCATACATACATCTTCCTCAATGAATCATGAATAGTTAATCAGTTGGGTGATTTGTTTTTTCAACAGCCGTATCAGGGTGTATAGAGACGCTATTTGATGTGTACACGTGTATAGGATTACGGACACGGACAAGTAATGCTAATACTGTCCAGCCACCCTCGGTAGATTGGCCAAACACTTGGCTACTTATGTCTCCATCCATGTAAAAGGAAAAGCCTCAGTCTAAAGACTGTCGTGTGTGTTTATAACTTTTGAGTGACCTTGAGAACCAATGGAAATGGCATTGCTCATAAAGCAAGGTCATCAAAAAGCTGATAAGTCATAGCAGTATAAAATTTCAGATTTCATGGCCTTGAATTGGACCACTTTTTGGAATTGTAGGCACCTCCAGCATCCTTCGACATATTTCATCGTTATTTTGCATATGTTGTCATTTCTGTAGCCTGCAACTTGTTTGGTGCCTGATCCTATGTGTTCTTCTATAGAAGCACCCATAACCTATGACGTCACCACGAGCGAGGACTGGTACACATCGGGGCACTTTTAATAGAGAAAAGTAAAAATATCAGGTTTCAATAGCAGGCTGACCTTACTGGGCTTTTCGACTTTCTCTTTGGCAAGACCCTCCGGTAGAAATCTCTTCGCCACTATTCCGAGTTTATTAAATGAAAGAGTGTGTTGGCAGATACTGGAGGCTTACAAAGTAATGGGTTACCTAATGCCGTATTATCAAGGTCGGTGGATCTCTCTGTGTTGATTTGTTTCCAGTGAGGGAAAATTTTGTAACATTATCAGAACAGCAGTGATTTTCCATAAACGAGCGTGAAAAATAGTAGGAGGATCACCAATAAAGGTCGTTTTGAACCGGAAAATAAAGCACTAAAAGGAGTTATTGCAGTCCCTTATTAATCCATGATCAAGGTATCCGCAAGTTTCTCCCAGAAGAAGCCTTCAATAATTTCGCTGTTGTATGAGATTTTGGCGCCTCCTTAGTTTTTTCTGTAGAGGGCATCAGCTTTAAAGATGTCGAACAAACACAGAAAACAGAGATATACAGGCGATCTGCCCTTAATCACAATCATCATTTTTCTGGTTGTCGGTGAAAAGCTGCACGCTCTAAAATTAAAATGGCAAGACGTTTGCATGGGGTATTCGTTTTTATTAAGTAGAATTCTGTAATTATGTAGTTTAAATTAGTAGACGGAAGGTACCATGGAAATTGTTAGTCATGGCTAACAGTTTTAATTGAATTTTGCTTTAGATGAATGATTAGATGGCAGTAATGCACCTAGAGCGATCCTAGATGAGTCAACAATGATTGCGCGTGTTAAGAAAATGTTGCTAGGTGGTTACTAATTGCAAATGTCGGCCTTCTCCTTAGCAAGATACCTTCAGTCCAACTCTAATTGCCTCCAGAGTTGAGTTGCTCTGGTCTCCGACAGCAAACACACCTTGCACATCATCTATCCAAAGACCCGCAGAAGTCCTCGACTTCAGTGACGATGAAGAGGAAGAGGAGGATGATAGATGCTGCAGGGAGACGAGGGGTTTCCCCCTGGCAAAGGAACGCTATGGGACTTATGTCTCCACCCCTCCGCCTCTCCTTCGCGACTCAATATGGCTCTTCTGCGGTGCCGATGGAATGCGCATCTGGTTGCCTCTAGACACCAGCTCGGTACGACGGTCCTCTGGAGGTGCGTCTGAGGTTCCACTCCCCTCAGGTGTGGACAAGAAGTCTCCTGGGGTGTACATTCCCCTTGGAACTGCTTTGAAAGCCTCCAGACGTGTGATGGTTTCTCTTGGGTTGGATGAACTTTCGTATCCGTTGGGTGAGACATTGAATCAAGTTTTAAGTTATTAAGTATTGCTGCTAATTGACATGTGGTTTGACAAATGCTTACCACTTTTACAATAGCTGCTTTCAACTGTTCGCTCAAAATAATAAACTTCTTATGAAGTGTTGATGTTTTAAGCGAGCAGAAATGTCTGCGGTTGGATGTGCGTAAACTTTTTTTTCATTTTTTCTACTACCCCCGGGGTTATCTCATCCCTTCTCCCCTTTCTTAGTCATTTTCCCCGACAAAGCCGTCTTTGTAACTGTTCAGAGTGATTACTTGCGAGTGGACCGTTCCTACTCAGATTTGCTGGCCGACCCCTGCATTCAAATGCCCTGCTGCTGTGTCACTTTTAAGGTATCATTGCTTTAGCAAGTGCAATTTCTTAGAAGGGAGGATTGCATCCTTTTACTTGAGATATACTTCACTTTTTTGAATTTTTTTTATACCAAAATGGCCTTGGATTGATTAAACACTGGGTCCTCTTTTAAACGGCAACCAGCTTGGCGTTTTTATATTTTTTTTATCATTTTGGCGCTTCTAATAGCCTTTAGTTTTCAGACCAACTTATTCCTGCCACATCTGCTGAAGGACTTGCTGCGTAAAAAGTAAGCTAAATCTTCGTGGAATTTCGTCAAGTTTATTCATTACTAAATCACTTACTCCTGGTTAATCCTTCTTGCAACAATTGCGTGATGCTAAGGATGAGTAAAAATGCGTTTTTTGCTAGCAGCATTTGCTTTGTGAAATTAATACACCAGCTCTAGTAAACCCTTAGCTTTTGAATGTAGGCCTGGTATATTTTTGCGGTATTTTGCAGATTTTCGTTACTTTATGCAATTCCACTCTTGAGGCGCTTAAAGTAACCGAATCCATCGCAAACTATGCTTAAATCGACAGCCAAGTATGACTTGACAGCTACTCTTGCATGATTGAAATATTTCCAGAAAGGTCTATAAGACAATAGATCGTGTTATAGTGGATAGGTTTTATCTCACGAATCGAGTCTGCTTTTACTGCTACTGCTCTATATCATATTTATTGCCAATCCTGGGTAGAATGTTTGGACGGATTTGTAACCGTCGCTCCCGCAAACAAATCTAGCGAAATTGTACACTAAGCCTAAACTTGGAAACTCGCTTGCCATATTTGGCAGATGTTGTGTCAACTAATTGCCATGTCGCTTGGACGTTTAAATATTTCATTTAATACTTAATAAAATATAAAAATTCCATTTACTGCGATGCCTTCAGTTCCATTTTTTTCCCACGCTGCTGTTGAGGTGGTAGGATTCATTCGTTTTTGAATAATTTATTTTTGACTTACTAAAAACAGGCCTTTGTAACCTCGGATCCAGCTTCGCTAAATGTGAAATTCTTTTCTCCGATTTCCTTAGTAGTGTTGATTGTTGTTTGTTTATTTCAGCTTGTCAGATGTGGCCTATGACCTTGCCGCCGCTTACCAGTACCTGCCCTACTTCCAGCATATTCTTGAATTGCTCCTTCATCAGGTTCTCGAAGAAGAGGCGACATCCAAATATCCCATTCCAGGTCAGTTTCTCATGAGCTGCTAGTCCACATTAATGCAACTTCTTGTGATTTTTCTGTTTTTTTTTCGCAGCCGTTTATTCTAAATGCTTGTGCCACCATACAAGTCGAATGTCTAATTTTCGCCCTTCATTGACGGGTACTTTCAGTAGGACCTCTCTATACTACTCCTATTTGTTACTGGATCCCAAACTCAAAGTTATTGGATCCTGTGGTAGTTATTTGGGTTGAAGTGGGCTCATTTTGTTTACTTCCGTTTAGTTTTGTAGAGTAAAAGGGGGTTTCATCTGCTCTTTTTGGGATTTTCATATCGTTTCTTAGAATTTTGCTCTTTTTTATAATCCCTGGTCACCGTACTTGGAGGTCCAATTTTAGTTTGAGCACTTAGTTCTCCTGATTTGATAGATTATCATGCCAAATCTAACCTCTGTATTTGGGTAGATTTCTCACCTACCGGTAGAACTGTCCGCATCCTGTTGCAGACGGTTGGTTCTCCGGTTTCTAATCTATCCTTAGCTGTACCCTTAATCTAATTTCCTTTTGAGACGCCAAACCATCGTCTGATTAGCATCATTACCTATTAAACTGATCTTTTTACGATGCTACGATATTGCTGATAAGTTTGCTTTAGTTAATGAAGGAGATTGCTACTTTAATTCTCCTTTTAGATCCTCTATTGCCCCAAGTGACAGCCTTTGTCGAGCAGTTTCCACACTTCCTCGACGTGGTTGTGCAGTGCACCCGCAAGACTGAGGTCACATGGTGGCGCTACCTCTTCTGCGCCCTCGGAAGACGACCCAAGGACATCTTTGACCACGCCATCTCCTTGGAGCAGTTGGATACTGCGGCTTCCTGTTTGGTCATTCTACAGAACTCTGAGACGCAGGCCACATGCAAACAAGTACGGATTGGCATTTCCATTATTCTTGATGTTCGGTGAAGAGCTTTTGACGTATGTAAAACAGCCTTGCATTATGTATCCTAGCTACCACCAAAGAGGTTTTACCATTTCAGCAGCAACGAAGAAGCATGGTGGGTGAAAGGGAATGAAATCATCGAGGTCGTTCTTAACAACTTTCAGGTGCCAATCCAGTCAGGTTTATTAAAAGTTTAGACAACGGGTTTTCAAAATCCTTTCTTGGTTTGTAGTTTACGTAGGGCTGTTTGTACTACATTCAAACTTCACCCATTTGCTTGAGGCGTGCTCCTCGCTATCCGTAGCTGGACCAGATCCACCAAAAGCCTTCCATGTGTTAAGTTTCAGATAATTTTTGTTGAGCCTGACGAAAGTTAAAAACTGCCGAGAGGAGTCCCTTATCATCTTTCATATTATTTGTAATCTTAGGTATGATTTCGTTTCCAAAGTTCGCTTCAATCACATCTTTGATAAATAATAATAATTTTATGAACATTCTCTAATGTATTGTTCCCAAGTATAGCTCAGATTTGAAGAGGAACATGAGTCATTCGGGTTTATTTAATGACTCCACAATACATCCATGTAAAAATATTAAGCCGAAGGGCTCATAATGTCAAACGAAGTGTTAGAAGTAGCGATACAACGTCCCTATCATGTGAAAACCAGAAAATACCAAACTAAAGTGTGTTAGAAGACGAGGTCGTAGGTTTACGGATGTTTCATGTTCTGTAATGCCAATTATTGTGTCAAGCACTTGAGACGCCAAGCGACTTCTCAACTCTGTCGCATCAGCATGCTCGTTTATGCCTGCTTTCAGTGTGCTCTGCTCCTCCTCGAAACGGCGATTAGGCAGTCTCAGTGGCATCATGTGAGGGATCTTAGGCGCTTCCTTAAGGCCACAAGTGAGTTCTTCTTTGCTTATACAGTCTTGTCCATACGCACACTTCCACCGCGTTTTTTCCTCGAAATAAGAAAATTTTTTTATTCATAAGACGAATTCTTTCGATTGAAATCCCAGGTGTTTAACTTTGCCTTAACACAGCGCTTTCCGAGCATTCAAAGGATGTGCTCAACGAAGTGGACACTTTTGTGGAACACACCAAATGCCGTTTCCTGCAAGAGGGTTCATGGAAGTCTCTGGAGGAGATCTTTGCCAATCTTTCGCCCCCGTCTTCTCTCCAAGTCCCCGTTTTCACAATGCAGGACGGTCTGTCGGAACCGGCAGAGGCTCTCAACTCCTTTCTGCCTCAGTGGCTCCTAGCCAATCGGTGTGCTCTCCAATCTCGTACATGCTCCTCCTCACTAAGAGCTTGTGTTACTAAGATAGTTTTTTTTCTTATTTTAGCGAGCACGTAATGCATGTAGATGACTGGCCACGGTGCTTTCTTCGTCTGCACTCCGATTTTGGTTGGTTCCTGTCCATTGGAATTCAAAAAGAGGATGTTCTTGCCTGTACACAGAAGAGACCAGGCTTTGCACAAGCTGTCAATGGCATGAGGACAGATTCCATTGCCAATTCGGAGACCTATTCGTCTATACGGTGAGTTTGTTTCATAAAGTTCATAAATATTGTCAGTTGCCTTTCAAATGTGTATGCAGTATTTGAAGTGGGATGTGCTATTGGTGCAGGAATTCGACATTACTCGATCGGAATTGTGCTGCTTTCGTACTCCACTCAGGTTGGCAATGCTCTCATTCACTATTTTGTAAATGGTCTGAGGAAACGCTATTTTTGCACGCAAATGATATTTGCCATTGAGAATTCCGCAACATGTTGAGTGTGATTGTGTGCATACTCAGGGTTCAATTTTGTCCCTCTAAAGTAGTACTTCATCCATCTTCCGCTACTGGTGAATATCAACAGGCCAAAAATGAAGAGTTTTTAAGAGAATATTCAAGTGGATTGTGTTTCGTGGTAAAATGGAATATCTGACACCTGTTCACGTGTGATCTGAAAGGCCTCCATTGTTTTTTCCCTCCTGTGTAGCTAGCTCACTTTTGAATTTGAATTCCACATTCCGAGTTAACCTGTGTATTTATTAATATATCGGTTAGACAATCTGTATTCCAAGTATGGCAAGAAACGTAGACTTAACTGAATTTGTGCTTTTGATGGTGACGATAACTCCCCATTATACTAAAAAAAGAAATGAAATCACTAAAAAGTGTATGAACTCAAAATTATCTCCTCTTCCACCTCATTGAGTTACCGTAGCTCTTAATGAGCCATGCAAATTTCGTACTCATTGGTATGAAATAACATTAGCAAGAGTTATTTAAATGGAGGTAAGTAAGCTTCGATGCTTGGCCCTGATGCTGTTTGACCAAATCTACCCTTCATTACCACCATCAACATTGCCAATGCTTTATGCATCTTTTTTTATCTGCTTTTATAATAGGCATTATAACTCGACTGAGGAAGCTCCCACTTTCTATGAGGCGTTGCGAGCGCAGCAACAGGTCCTTCTGCTCCTGAATCATCTCCTTATGGTGATTCGCGAGCTTAAGCCCCCGACTCCCGAGTCGTTTTTTGGCCCTTCAGAAGAGGCCCTCTTTTGTTGGACCCTCATCGTAGCCATTCTTCAGATGGACAAAGAGGCCGTCATTAGCGTCTTCTCTCTTCTGCTCAAAACGGGTGTCCATCCCACCAATGGCATTGATGCCATTCCTTCTTCTTCGGCGTCGTCGTCATCATCACCACCGACACTCCTCCGTCGCATCTTGAACGGCATTGAAGCATTGGAGCGCTTAATTTCTGCCGACCCGCAGGCCACTCCTGAGTACTCCAACTTTTTCACTGAACTAAAACCGATCATCCGGTGTGTTTGGAGTAATTTTCATAATCCATGTCGTCTTATTTCACCTCACGATGTTTTGAGGGAGTTCAATCTTTGTTAGGCTAACAAGAAAAGCGTCCATTTTTATATGAAACCACATTTAATTATTCATCAAATCGAGGCTTCTGCGTCTGCAGGATAGACACTACGATTCCTGAAAGCATTACCACGAGGTATTACAACCCTTGTGTGAAATCAGTCGACTTCTAGCATGAGATTAACCGTTAAGTTCACACAGTGTAAGTAGCCTACTTCCAGTGTAATTGCCGATAGGCATTGCACTAGTTTTGAGGATTACATTGCGGAACTTTGTTTAAAGTCTTGACAGCATTTAATCGTAGACAGCGGATACATGTCGAATTGATTAACTGGTACAGCGTCTTTTAATTGTTTACTCTCCGACTCGCAGGAAAGTCGTTCAACCCTTCATGGAACAAAA